GGGTTGTACTCCATGTTTAGGAGAAGAAAAGGGATGTACTCCGTTGAATTAAGTTAGCCGGAGTGTCCATGGTGAATGTCCCAAAAATCACGAGTATACATGGGTGTCGATTCCTGTAGATGAAATATCCGTAAAATGGCAAAAAGAAGTGTTTGTATGATGGCTATATTGGTTAGAGACCCACTGAGTTATATCCTCAGTTTGGTTGTCTGAATAAAATGGAAATAACTCATCAATTGAGATAAAATGGATCAAGATATAAGTTCGACATAGTATAATTTTGTAAAAGAGTTGTAAATAATTTTATCACGGGTATTGTTTGTGCATATCACACTCATATCTTTGTTAAAATTTATACGTTGTGTTAAATTATTTCTACTGGGCTTTAGCTCACCCTATTTGGGGAAAACCATTTTTAGGTGCTGGTGAGATGCCCCCTCCAAGGACTTAGCTTGGGAGGACCGTGGAGCTGAAGGCTCAGTTTTGATTTGTTGTTTTTGTATCTAACGTTCGTACAAGCCTAGGGCTTTATTTGTATCGAGCTTACGACTCACTTTTGAGGTACCCAAGCCTTAACTTTGAAAGATGTAAACCTTTAGGGCATATAATTACCTGTTTAGCTTTTATTACATTATTACTGTTTGATAACAGATGTTGTAGATTAAAGGTGTTCTATTTATGAATGTATATCGCATGTGTCACCCCTTTTGTATAATCAAATCTCATGTAATAGAATGACATTATACTCTGATTCATAATGTTATTTACTTATTGTTTTGGATGGTATATTGCGTTTATTTCGGAGCGTTATAACTTGGTATCAGAGCATACCGGGTTTGAATACTTTGGGTATGTGGGAAGTGGTTATTACCACACTGGGTTTGTCGCACTTGATAGAGACATTAGTATGTATAGTATACTATGTGAAAACATGCTTATATGATTATATGGATGTGAGATTTAGTTCCTAAAATATTGATTGGGTCTATGGGTTTCTAGATGTTCTGTTAGAAGAGCACTTGATCACTGTTGTTTTTAATTGGAATCCTGGTAACATTGCGATACGGTTGCTATCCAAGAAGGAAATTCATATGTGTTTATATGATTACGTGTTTACGTAGAGTGAATTAATGTTGTCCACAGCATTAGGACGCGAGAGAGTTAGCTTCGGCACATTTGTAAATGTGCTAATCTCTTTGTTACCTTCATTAGGATGTCAGGACGTGGACGTGGTGGTAGTAGGCGTAGTAGGCCTATGAGGCATGAGGTGCCTCTATCGGATGAGATTCCGACACAAGAAGAAGGGGTTGGTTAGGCCAATCTGGCCGAACCAGTTGGTCAGCAGGCCATGGACGCCTTAGCCCGCGAAATGGCCGAAGCATTGCTGGAATTTATGGACATTCTCAAGGCTGAGAATTAAGTCCAGGCCAGAGTAATTGAGACAGGGCCATCATTCTTGAAGCGAGAGTTTTTTCGGTCAAATCCGGACGAGTTTTTAGGTGATCCCAAGGAGCCACTGAAGGCGGATGAGTGGCTAGAGCAGATGGTGAAGACGTTTGAGATGCTTGACATCGAAGATGGAAGTTTGAGGGTGACCTTGGTAGCTTTCCAGCTGAAGGGGGATGCAGGTCAATGGTGAAAGTATGCGCGTGGGCGCATTTGTAGTGACTTTGGAGGCTTTCATTGACGCCTTCCAAGACAAGTTTGCAAAACTGTGATCATTATACTACATTTGTTTTTGGATCTATAATTTGTAAAGATTCAGCCATAGTCTCAAATTTATTTATTTATTTATTTATTTCTGTTTTTTGAATTGTCAATTTGTTTGAAGCATTTATAATACATATAGTATATACCATTTGTACATTATAGTCTATATTGAAACTAGTTACAAACTATTGTAATAGTGGGGCTAGAAAATTATTAAATTAAAATTAATTATGTTCCATTATAATGTTTGATTATGTCTGAATGGTGGTATAATGTTATCGAAAATATCAAGCAATACATATTGGGAATCGGGTGGCATGGTTGTGAATTTTTTGAAATCATCAATGATAAAAAATAAATAAATAAATAAATAAACCAATTTTATTGTAGCCGAACCAGCTGTATATTATTACAATCCAATTGCTCTTTATGATTTCAGGCCAATAAGTCTCACAGGATTTGTCTACAAGGTTCTTGCAAAAGTACCCTCCAACAGTCTGAAGAAAGTTCAACCAGCCTTTATTTGCCAATGAACATGGCCTAATTTTGAGGCTCAACTTTGCAAAGCCATTTGACAGTGTGAACCGAAATTATCTTTTTCCAATGACAAAGAGTTTTGGACTAAAATGGATTATTGAATGTGTTTCTACTGCATCTCTTTTTCTTCGTCTTAGTGAATGGTTCTCCTACTCAGTAGTTTGCCATGAAAATGGAGTTGCAGCAAGGTGACCCCCACTCACCTTTTCTTTTCAACAGCCTCCGACAGTTTATGAGTATTCTCTTCAAGAGAGCCAAGAGCCTAGGTCTGATTGGGGATGTTCAAATTGGGCAAAATGGCCTTACAATTTTTCAGCTTTAATTTGACATAATAGTGTTATGCAATGCAAGTTGGCACAATGCCCTGACCATTAAAACAGGCCTTAGAACCAATAACCACAAAAGCAGTGCCAGTAATGTGGTGCAGGTATCTCAAATGAACTTGCCAATGACATGGCCAAGGCATTAAGGCCCCTTTTGGGAAGTGGGTTATAATCTACTTTCCAGATTATAACCCACTTCCTCTCTCACAAAAAAGCTGATTATAACCATCTTTCCAAAATAATCCTAAGTTGCAATCAGCATTCTCTACAAATCAAATTCTTGGGGTTGCCTTTGGGTGCCAACCGAAGATTTTGAAGCATTTGGAATCCAATAACTGAAAACATCATGAGTAAACTCACTTCATGGAAAGAAGAGATTTCTCTCTTTTGGAGGGACGCTCACTCTTAGTATTAAGCAATGTGGCCTAGTGGCATTGAGGAAATGCTTAGGTGCTTGTAGGGGAGAGGTTGGGAGTTTAACTCCCCTAGGAGTTAACCCAACAATTAACAACTGATTTTCCATGATAAAAAATAAATAAAATACAGTATTAAGCAATCTTCCGATAATGATTGATTCACTTTCTTTTGAAATAGTGAAAGACTAAATCACTATGGAAGCATTCTTGTAATTTGTTTGCTTATTCTTGGTGATCCACTTCTTTTAATCTGTCTGCTTTTTCTGTTTCTTCAGTAAGAAAATTCCTCTTTCCTTTGCCGATCCAAAATAAAAAATAAAAAAATCACTAATGGAAGCAATTAGTAGGTGATAAATACAACACACCAGCCTTTTTTCACATAACTGATGGCGGAGTTGAATGGAACTTGGATTTTAGAAGAGCTCTATTTAGTTGAGAGGCCCTTCCCTTCTCAGTATTTTGGTCTATTTAGAAGGCAAGGAACAATTGCATCTCTAACAATATGGTGTTTAATTGGAAAAAAGTTTGGGTTAAAAGCAAACACAAGAGGTTGGACTATTCAACCCAAGATTTCATTGTTGGAAAATCGACTTTTAGCGACGTTTTAAAAACGCCGCTCTAGGTACTGAAAACGTCGCTAATTCTTTTTGTGACGTTTAGTACCAAACGCCGAAGACGTGGCCGTCGCTATAGCTTTATGGCGTTTGGAAAACGTCGGTATATTAGTATAGGCGGCGTTTTTAACCCTAACTGTACTGTGACGTCACTATGACATTTAGCGATGTTTTGGAAACGCCGTCAAAGACATTTATACATTTTAAAAATCTAACCGTTGGGATAGGAATATAGTGACGGTCAAAAAGCACCACCATAGCCTTTATTTTTTTTATTTTTTTATTTTTGAAGTTGTGCTAATTTTATATGGTTGAAAAAAATACCTGTCATAAACAATTATTAAGAACTAATAATTGATGTTTATTAAAATAATAAATAAACTAAGTTTGAAAACAAAATTAAAAATAAAAGACAATGCAATAAGATGTGATACATGCACAATTACAGAATATATCTAGACACAAAATATATTAGAAATCCGTGAGGATTTATTTACGAAGTCGGGCTTGAAAACTCATGCAGAAAGCAGAGAAGACATCCATACTCCTAATGACACAATACCGATAGTAGTAAAAGCTTGGCCCAGTTTATAACCAAAATTTTCTTTCTGAACAAGGCAAACTTTGTCAATTTGTCCTCCTACAAAAAGTCACAGCCAGGACCAAATTAGAAAGGTTAATATCAGTACAATAGATTGACACATTAGATTAGAATGGAAAACATTAGATTAAATTAACTTAATGCATACAAGTGCATACCCCAAATCAACAATGATGATGCTGACATTATCTTGTGAACGTCGGTCCTGTAATATACATAAATTTGCAGGTATGATCAAGCATTGTGCAAGAAAAATAAACATCTACGCATCCATTACCAGAACTGCTCTTCCAAGCGCCTCACAAGCTAACAAAAATCAGAACAAAAGAAGTTAAAACTCTGTAAACCATAACACTGGTATACCAGAATTGAGGCAAATTTTTTACCTGAACATCTTCGTGTTGCTGAAGCTAATTCCTCACAAAATTAACTGCTTCTGAGCTGAAACAATAGCAAAGTTGATGAGATAATACTCATCTTGTGGTTGATTGAGAAAAATATTAAATAAATAACTATCATGCTAATTTAAGATAATTTACAGAATGAAAGTACAAGGTTCAAACAGGAAACCACAAACAGCACTGTCAGTATCAAGCACAGTTTTTACGTCATCATAGATATCTTCATCAGCAGTTCCAAGAGCTATTTCTCGGCTCCACAGACTGCTTTATTGTCTGTAAAGTTGTGTAACAATAAAGGTTTATTCAGAGAATGAAAGTGGAATGTTGATTTACCAGATTCTCACGGAGAGATGTATCCACAGTTGTCCCAGAATGCATAATTGCATTAGCATATATTGTTGCACTGTGGCAAACACTATTTCTCGGCTCCACAGACTGCTTTATTGTCTTGAGAATAAGAAGATCCGACCTATATGCAAATTATAAAATTAATGAAAAAAGCTTTTCACAGTACACAAATGGAACTCCTGAAAATTGAATTTGAGTAAAGCAGAATAAATAAAGAGCTGGAAGTTATATCTGTTGTCTCACTTGTTATGACTGTATAAAAATTATAGAGTCAACTGTATTGAAGTCTCTCCAGACAAAATTCCTTTTATTTTTGTTAGCCTCTCAGCATAGGTCACTTCTTTTGGATTTGCTTCTTGAACATTCACATTAGAAGCTTGAGTTTCATCAGTCATTTGAACATCCTCAGATGCAGTAGCTAAGTTGTAAATAGAACTACAAGTCCTGAACTACCCAAGGCAATTGGTTTGCCTTTTGATTGATCTGATACCATTGTATTAGGATATTATGAAGATAATAATAAGAGAGTGCACTGAAAGAAACTGCTAAAAAAAGAAAACACCCAAATCTCTTAAAGAAGATATCCATCCTAGAATTCATACATAAAGCACATCTTTCAGACACATACAGAGACAGAATTCAACTTTTCTAAAATAGATATTTAAATTGTGTCTGTGTCCATGCCTCTTAGTTGTTAATGCAATTGTTGCCAATTTCAAATTTACCTACTACTACAATCTTCGATCAAGATTCTTTACTCTACCACCATAATTTTTTTGTGCTACATGAATATGCTAATTATCAATAGAAATTCAGTTTGACCACATCAAAGAGTAAATTCAACTTAAATTGTGGTCTTGGCTATATCCAGATTCTAGATACAGATATATCTCCATGAGAAAAATCACCAACAAATAGTCTGCTTCAGAGAATTTTGAGAGATCTTCAACTATCCAAGTCAAATACAGAAGGATAGAAGTAGAGCTCAATTACATGTATTATGCATAGGTTACATAAACACAAGATTTTGTGCAAATAAATAATTATATTATTTAAGTGCAATCATTGTTGATATCAAGCCTATCCTTTCTTGAGGAAATATATATATATATATATATATATATTTGGGGTGATTGACTGAATTGAATTATTGAATTAGGGAGTTCACATCCATTATTTGTATATTTCCCAGTAGAGAGAGATGTTTGTTTGTTGAAATATACCAAAAAGAAAAGACAATAAAATATGATTTCCACAATTCTTTAAGAACATTAACTACACTGCAAATGTTGGCTATCGCTACACTACAGATATGCTCTCATATCATGTGAAGCTATCATTCTATCCAAAAACGTAAATGATAGATCACATTGTGCACTCTATTAGAAACTCTACAACATACTACCTAAACTAATCATTACAGGTAATAAAACACTATGAGTCTATGAGTGTCATGTTCAGCATAATCTATACTACTTATTTACCCTTAATAAGAGGAATTTTGCACATAATATCACAAAGAAAATACAAAGAATTTCAATGACGAGTATAGAATTAAATGTTTACTTCACAAATCCCAAAACCCATAAATTCATATATAAGCGCATATTTTATACTATTATTAGAAGGTAACACCTTAATTGATGTCCCTGACAGATTTTTAGCATGCCTGAATTACCCCATGCTCAAACATCTTTGCATAATTCCAGAATGCCGAAAAACAAAGATAAAGCAGTTAATTAAGGTCTTCAAACTTCAACATTAAGACTGAATAGCAATACAAGGAAGTCAGTTCCTATAGCTGTTTATTGTATTAACATCACATGTTACTGAATCCAAGACACTGAACTGGTCCACCAGCCGCAGGACACACTTTCCAAACACCATCAACAGCAACCTAAAAAGAAGTAAAGAAGTTCGCAGTTACATTGGAATATCACATAAAAAACTGACACCATGCAGTTCAAAAGTGAGTCCTTAACTCATTGCTGAACATAAATGAAGAAACGATGCGGCTCAGTCGATCATAATTAGGAAAATTTTATAATTTAAAGATAATTATACTTTTGCCAAGGAATTGGTTTTTCAATGTAAAGACAATTTTTCCATAATGGTCCTAAAAGAGATGGTATCAGTAGCATTCTTTGAAGGAAATAAATTCAAAATCGAACTCGTACAATGTTTCGTTGCAACCATTCTATTCAACATATATAAGCTCAGAATCCTTGTATTAAAAACCAAAGTTAAAGGTCCAAATTATACCTCCAGCGAATTATTTATACACCTGTGCTGATAACAACCATTTCCTTGGGTCATGGAACCCCTTACAAACCCAGTTCGTACTATTGATGAGGCCATACACCTACAAGAATGAACAAAAGTTATGCCAATGCATAATTCAAATGTGAGAATCTAAAAAAAGTTCCATAAGCATATCTCACCTTGAGCTATGTCCTCTCACCTCACCTAACATTCTGTCAGGTGGTCGAGCACTGTTCATGTCTGTGCATGATTGCATGATCCATCAGAATAAGCCACATAATAAGTGCAACAGTCAGCTAATGATGACTGCCCACATAATATTTAAACCAAACATGACTATCTAAATTTAAGTGATCACCAGCTGGAAGTGGAACATCTAAACTTAGCATAAGAAATTAGTGAACAAAAACTTGCTAGAGTTTTGAATCTTTCCAGCAAGTCACAAGCAAAATCAACTACTGTCTGGAAGAGGAGAGATGTCAGAGGGAATCCAAGCTTTAGCAAGATTCTAACATGTCATTTAATTTAGGGTATATTACACTGATCTCCCAGCAAACTCCGCAACTTTGAAAAAATTACAGTGACCTCCTTTTTAGAGAGGTTAAAGGGACCGGAACAAATGAAGATGGTGTGAAGACACAAAGATAAATAAGGAAAAATATACATTTCATTGTAAAAGAGATGACATCATCATTTTTCCATCTACGTGACTAACAAATTTCTTATGACAGTGAGGCTCAGTGCTATGTGAATTAAAACCTTAAGAGAGTCCAATGTGACTCTGCTAAACTAACATGTGTGTTTGATGTATAGCCAAATTTGCTTTCACAGAATACTCATAATAGCAAGAATGCAAAAATGTATGCTCACCAGGCAAATTTTGAAATCTATGGAGTGGAAAATCAGAGAAAAACCATCATGTCAACATATTTTCCAGCGATGGTTCTGGCTGCTACTAGTCCAGCTGCCAAAGCTGCACCGAATAAAGCATGCAATCTCACACAGTAATACTTTTCCATAAAGATCTTCATTTTGTCCTATAAGAATGAAGTCTCAAGACCACAATAGAGAACTAATGCAATTCAGCTATAAAAAGAGTAACAACTAGGGTTCATAACCATCCAATCTGTAATTCTACAGTAAAATTGAAGCTTAAAATGTTACTACTCACCTAGTGGTTTTGCTCAACGTAGTTGACAACTAGTTTTCCAATGGGCAAGGTTAGGGCATAGAGAAACTAAAACAAAGCTATGATTAGATTTAGAGTAGTGGGATGGGTAAGTATGATGCACTTCAAATGGCACTAAAGATCATGTGACACCTAAATTAAGCATTCTTCGCATTAAAGAACGCTCTAAAATCAACAAACTTACAATGCAAGTAAAAGGGAGGGCTCTGCAAAGACCAAGAACAAGCAAAAGCAAATAAAGTGTGAATATAGCCACTTTCACCACCTTGACCCTGTTTCCGTGCCAAGTCTAACCTGAACAAAGATATCAAACCCAAAATAAATAAATAAATAAATACACGTGAATCGATTGTTCAATTTTCCTTGAATTTTGAAGTTCTAATGTTAGGGTACTTATCAGAGGGGACATTTTTCTGACAGCTCTATATCCGTTTACCTGAGTTGCATGCCATTCATGTTACCTGATATAGGGATACCCTGAATAAGGAGATGTGGAAATATTAAGGGGAGAGAAGACAAGGGAAGAAAATTTTACCTGATGGAAGTGACTACAAAAGAGGATTAGAGTTGTTGTGAAGCCAACTAGGAGCAATGCGGAAATGATTATGCCAGTTATAGGAAGTTCACTGTATTAATCACCCAAAATCAATACTCATATAAGGCATGTGAAGTGAAATCCAAGATTATCAAGAAATCAATATTAGCTACAACCTTGTGTTGCTTTGTAGCAAGTAAAAAGCAGTCGTAGCAAATGGACCAAACGCTGCAAAGCTCAAAGGCTCTCCAAATCCTTGATAACTTAATCTAAATGGCGGGCATTGGAATGAACACAGTTTCAAATAGGTGATTTTTTATTTTTGATTTTGATATGCCAAATAGGTGAAATGACTGCTGTGCCCCCTCGTAAAGCACTTGTTGCACAAATGACCATTTCAAGCTTGATGTTGGATTTCTCTCGAAATTACGAAAATGACTTTGAAGAATTCTCAAAAGATCGAAGAGTTAAAAAAATAACTCACAGTGAGAGGAACCAAGGCAACAGAGTGAATTGGTAATTTGATTGCTCCCCAAATCAAGATTGCTCTAGAAATGTCCTCTTCCTTTTCCTCTTCATAAGTAGAATTCTTGGAGGAAATGCACTAACATCTATGCCGCCAATTGAGTCGTCTTGTAGAAGTCCTATTCAGATATTAGAACACATAGTAGTAACCATAATAATAGCAGAACACATGCTCATTGGAACAAACAAGTATGAAGCGAAGATGTGACTCAATTTGTTCCAATGCCAGGTGTAGACACCCCATTTTTGACCGTCCTCAAGACTTGGACGTCACCGCTTGAACACTCGGTGATCATCCATGTTTGTGTTTGTTTTGAGTTCCTGGAGGTCTTGGCTACGCGCCTTGCCTCAGGATCTCTCGACTTGCTTGTTCTGTGCTTGGTTTTACACCAAGGACTTGTTTGTTTTTGCACCTGAGGGTAGAGAGTAGCTTGGTAGCTATCCCTGATACCCACCGGCCATGGCTTGAGGCCATCGGCCGTGTTTTGAGGCTACCGGCCATTGGTGAAATAGTCCATTGGCCGGTCGGCATTTTGTGTAGCCAGCTGACCACCTGTTGGCCTCCTTTTCTGGCCGGTACCACCTTTTTACCTTTTTCAGGCATAGTGCATGCCAGCTGTGCTAGCTGGAATGCACAAACCCTGCCCCCGTGCATATTTGTGGCTGTTTTGCCCCTTTTGCACCCTTTTGGTCTAGCTTCTTAAGGAAGCTTGGACCTTTGTCTTAGCTTCCTCAAGAAGCTTGAACCCTACCTCAGCTTCCTCAGGAAGCCTTGGCCCCTTTGCCTTGGCTTCTTGAAGAAGCCTTGATCCTTTTAATTAGCTTCTCTTGGAAGCTTAGCACCTTTGATG